TAAATCGTCGTGCCTTGTCCAGCTGATACTCGACAAGCTTTAGTGCATGGTGTGGAACTTTTTGTTGTACATTTGCCCAAATTTCACTATATTGTGAGACCAACGTATTTGCATAATCGCAAGCAATTTGACGTCGGATCAGAGTCTCATGTTGCGAAACATGAGACTCTTGTAGACATTGATAAGATCGCCAGATGAAATAGTAATCCAAGTTTTCAAGGCGCCACGATTGCCCTCGGCGCGGCAAGTGACAAGGTTCCCAAGATGACAATGAACTTTGTCCAAGCAAGAATACACTGCTCCTTGTGCGCGACGCCAAGTTGCGTAAATATAGTTGCATGCGTGTTGTGTATGCTATGCTTTGGCTAGCATAGCTGTCCAGTTGGCGTTGAACGACTCGGTATCTGTGTATTGACACAATTAACAAAATTTGAACTTAAATTTCTTCCATTTTTTCAACCCAAAATACTTTCAGCATCTAGCAAGCACATTCTTTTGGATGTGCCAACACAAAGAAGATTGTGAGCAGCCATAAATATTACGCAAATGACCAACATTAACGCCAATTTGCGATCCATCATAATGACCACAAAAAATTGTCTTGCTAAATTGACTTTGATCTCCGGTGAGAGAAAGCAAAAGGCGATTCACTAGTAGACGACAAGCCAACAATATGAAGGAGTGGCATTTTGAATCGGTTTGACTTGTGTGTGCAATCCACATCCATCATGTGGGGAAACTCATTGGCAAACTTGACACATTGAACTAGAGCAAAGAAGAGGCGCATTAGGTGAACTCCGTTGTCCTGGTCATGGGCATGAAAAATATTCTTTGTGTGAAGCTTGTCAAGGAGTATTTGGATGGGAGTACTCCCGTCCAGTAGTTTGTTTCAAATTGTTTCTTTGGTGTTGTAGATGTCTCGTGGAATGAGGAAGTAGTACGGATCGCTTTGGCGGATGGAGGCCAAAATCACTTTTGGTGCTGTCCCTACTTTCGACAATGTGTGGATGCTTGCCTTCTAAATGACGTTCAACTTTCGAGCAGCTGGATAGGGGGAAAGGTTGCCATCACCGTCGTGATTCTTGTGCTCCCTTTGCATAACAAAAACACGCCATTCGTAGAGCACACCAGCGGCTGGTGCTAGTACTTCAGATTGTCGTAGTGTAACTGAGAATGAACAACTAGAAATTTTGAAGAGCATTTGCGCTTGCGATTGTCATCTGTGAGGTTCTTTGACTTGTTCTTGTACTCGCTGTCGTGTGCACGTGCAAGCGAGACTTTGCGTGTATCGTCGGTCTTGCTCTTCATAGAGCGACCGTGGGACAAAGTATTACCTTTATGTTGGTATGTGCCATAATTGCAGCTTTTGCTGCCTCAAGCGAAGCAAACACAACTTCATAAGGTGGTGGTCTCAACATTGTAGTGTGCAACAGTGCGGTGGCGTGCACTTATGGCAGGGTGGAGCAGTGTGTGGCAGCCTTTTATTGTATAGAAGCTTGTAGCTTGAGTAAGAAAAGTTGCTCGTTTGTCTAGTTAGTTCTTCTTGTTGTTGGTTCGTCGCGCGGGGATGTGTACGCAGTAGGGAGTGTGTACCTGTCAATTCCCTTTTAAAATAGTGTAAATAAATTGATTTCACCACTTACCGTGATTGCTACATACATTTTTTTGGTAGGTAAAAAAAGTATGAAGATGTTTAAAATTATTTACAAAAAGAACTTGCATACTTTGCAAAAAAAAATTACTGTTTCTTTTGAAAAAATTCACTCATGAGTGCAATTTTTGTGGTGGATTGGTTAAAATTTTCTCAAGAACGAAAATATAACCAATGTAATTCAATGGCTGTTCTATAAGATAAAGGGGGTGGATTGGTTGATTTTCCTAGTAAGAGAATATGACGACCAAAATTTTTACACGTTCACAATTGGGCCACATCCACCGCAATTCACCGTAGACACGTAAAGACATGGAGACAATGGGCAGGAGTATAAACTCCAAATTGTCATAAAAACCTCGACCTGAAGGTTGAACTAAAAGTTTCAATTCAGCCTTTTGTGGATAAATCCAGGAAAGTGTTCACTTGAATTATTCTTCAATAATTCTCAAAACAGTTGCGGGGGGGATGTTGAATTTGACGGGACTCCCGAAGAAGGCTATGGCTGAGAGATGTAGCCCCGACGGGCTCGCAAGACGATGCACAATCTCATTGACCTGTGACGCCAGATTTCGTCCAAATCGAGCAATAACTTGTTGACATGTTATCCACGTCGAGGCCTTGAATGCTGCACATGATCTACTGTTCGAACGTCCACTTCGAGAGGAGAAAGTAAATCTGCATCTTCATCAACCGCCTTCGAAATGAACGGAATGAAGATCGAGCAGTGGATACACAAAATATAATCTCACGAGGTTGGGATAAGCTTTGCGCATGTTAGCGGATGCAGATTAGATGTTGGGACTAGAATCATAAGTGTTCGTGGTTATCATAATTGCCAGAGCAATGATCAGCCCTATGGAAAACGGGGGCATTACATTTTGGCGATCTTTCACGATCTTAAGCCGATCGATCCTCTTACTGTAGACTCGGATATCGATCTAATCGCACTTATAATTTGTCCTCTCTCAATCAGTGAATCTGCCCTCCCTAACATCATATGCTCCTATTGCAAACGCATGGATGGAGATTATCACTCACGTTCCATAATTCTACTCGATCCAGATCTGATGAAATGCCACTGTTGGACAAAATCCCCGACCACTTTTCTCAATCATCCAAATTCTGGGCTGACTTCAGCATTAAGGATCATAACCGTCGGACTAAAAGGGGCAAAGCCTGTAGTGAAATCTCATTTGAGGACTGACGAGGTTGATGTGCATCATCAATCGACAAACGGTAGGTTGACTTGAACATCAACTTAAAGTATCTGAGCACCAAAAGCTGCACACGCCATCGTTCCTTTTGGGCCTTCTTTACACGACGTAGCATCGGACTGCAGTCGAGGCCCATGGTCGCCATAAATACTCAGTAGAGCTCTTGTAGCGATGTCAATTCTCGCAGGGACCAATAATACACAGCCGTCTGGACATGGAATTCACTTCGCCTTGCGAGTGCACAGTCTGAAAAGAAGAAGGTCCAACGACCCCGAATTTTCTAGCGAGCGAAAAATGAAGACGGGTGGAGCTTTCAAGTCAGTCGTTCGCTTCCAGTTCCACACAGCACGGACACCTATGAAATTAAGCTTAGAATACTGGGGGCCTGAGGTCTTGTGCGCAATGTAGGAGAATCGTACGCTAATAAATGCTCTCAACCTCCTTGTAAGAAGGTATAGATGAAGTCTGATATAGGTGCAGCAATTGTGCTGAGCTCGAGCCTACAATGCTCGCTCCACCTCTCGCATTTGCCCGAAATCATGTCCTACCGCCTACTCCCTCGCAGTAGCTGCCCTCCAGTTGACTGCAGGACTTCAGAACTAATCCTACTGCCTCTGGGCCAGCCCTCATCATCTTCTGGGGGATGGCATATAATGCACACCCAGAAGTAGCAAATTCCCAAGGCCAAGCGCCTCCAGAGCATCTATCTATCTCTATCTACGTACGTAGCAGGGCAGGGCTCAGGACTGGATTGTACTTACAAGATTGTACCTAGCAGTGCAGTAGTGTAGCAGTAGGGACCCTGCCTCTTCCCAAGGGGAGAACTAATTGCCACAACCTGTGGCTACACTGCGACTGCTTTTGTTCCGTGCTGGCGAGCTTATGCTTACTTTTTGCTGGTGATTTGTTGTGAGCCGACCATTGTATACCGAAGTTGTGTTCCCCTGGAGGATTTGCGCTATCCTCCCGCAAGGGAGAGAGGGAGAGATACTGCGTAGGCAGGCTTCGAAATGATGAGAACCAGGTTCTGATTATTTTTATGATTATCGTTCTTTATTCCTCTCCATATTCTGATTGGCTTTCTGGTGCTTTTTCTAGTGTATCCGCGCTTGCTAGCAGTCGGATACGTGGAAATGCTCGTAAATATCTGTTGGAGCCAATGCTCTTTTTTGTCGCGGATATCTCATTCATTGGCTGAACCAACGACTTGATTCCATCTCCTTTGCGGAAGGAGGGCTTCCATCAAGTTTTCTTCTTATGAGCCTTTCGGCGTCATAGATGGAACCAAGAGAGAACTCTGAGACAGTCAAAAGCGTGAGGTGTAATGTCCCCAGTTTTATCACGTTTTAGGCATTTATGAAGTGGTGGTTTGGCATTCATCGCCCATTCCGGTTCCGGAGTTGGGCTCGTTTGAAAGGATCCACGGCCTCCTCCGCCTGTTCGAATTTCTATTTCTGCGCTAGTTTATCCAGCTCCAGCCAAAATGCCACACAAACGAGTGAGAAGCAGCAAAAAGAACACAAAGCAAAGCAGTATTGCAGGCTAGAAAAGGGAAGGGGGGGGGGGGGGGGGGAGGAAGGTGGTCACCTGGGAAAAGGTCCCCACATGACCTTCGTGCTTTTTCCTACTCGTACTATACGCGGTGTTCTTCATTCAGTCCTGCTCTGGCCAATCGCTCTACCACCTTATCAGAGCCGACCCCAGAACGGCTTCTGCCTCGGAGAGAAACATTCTCCAGAATAAGTTTACAGCATGAACCACTAATATGGATACATTTCTCAAACCTATATGAATATCATCGTGGGAGTATTCCTTATGGCAACCTCGGTCGTGCGCAGTTTAGCCCTGCTCTATGTGGCGTACACTTTTGGCGATCATTGTTCTTAGTATAATAGGACATACTACTCAAGTTTTATCGTTTAATAGGAAGTCATCGAGACGAAAGATTTTTGACTTCTATAAGGTACCCGAGTATAGCTGCTTGATACACAGACTTTCACATGAAAGCACATTTCCAGAGTTTGCAGAACACTGCGAGATTTGAGGTGAAAAGGAGGAGACAGGATAAATCACCACGTACAACTTACATGGAGGGATGTGATGCAAGTATTCAGACGGGTAGAAGAAATTATGTGAGAAATGGATATCTCAATTAGTTAATAGAGATATCATACTGCATTATATTGACAGAAGATCATTGGTACATGTGCTACTCAAAAACATTTGCACTGGCCCTAGATTCCAATGGTTGAGACAGCACAATTAAATACAAGAAAGCTACTAGGGCCAAAACTTGAGTTCACATACGAAAATCACAACCCTTGTATAGTTTATGGGGTTGTGAATATGCAAGGGCAAATTGATAAATACACTAATGATCTTGGTGGGTTCCATGAAAAGCATGAAACACAGACGTTGCAAGGAGCTTTGCAAACGCCATGTGCATGGCAAATTTCATGCTTCAAACCACCTCTATGATCACATGCTAAGAATTACATCTGCCGGCTCTCTCTGGTTTCATTCACCTCCCAGAGAGATTATTGACTCTCAGAATGAGTTGAATGAAATGGAACCCAAAATGCTCAAAGTCTATCCTTGTCTAGAAAGACAATGGTGCAGTACCTGCAATAAAAGACAGAAGAAATTCAAGCAGCGTCAGAACTACACGAAGTTTATTGATGTAAAGGGAAATTATATCTGGCTACCTTCACTAATGTACTGGTGGTTATTTCAAAACTAGCTGGCAACTCAAACAAAAATACATACCTTGCTCAGGCTACAGTCGGAAGTCGTATTGCTCGAGCACCGGTGCCAGCTAAGTCTGTTCATCCGACAGTAAGATGAAGCATAACATTCACGTGTTCTTCCCATCCATCTTCACAAGATCAACTCACACCTTGCAACGTCTGGTCCCCGTCAAAAGCAACAATCAGAAATAAACCAGAATAGGTTCCTACAAGAATTAGTTCTAAAAACTGCAAACATTGTTATTCACCTAATTCACACTATATAGCTAGGACTCCGACGTTGGAAACTCCAATGACAATCAATAAGCATTGAAGTAAGCGATATGTCATACAGAGGGCGATTCATGTGGGTCACAACAACTGAATTACCTGCCAATTACCTGCCACTAGTGTGAACGATTTCTTCAGACTAGGTCAAGCTCAACAGGCTTCTCTTGCTTGTCAGACTTGAAAGTAATCTTGTCTGATGTGGATGGCTGCCCGCTGGTTACAGAGTCATCTTGCAAAGCTGATGAAAGATCAGCTTCTTCGTGCGACTTTTGGCTTGTCCTCCCAGTTCTGGAATCCACATCCTCTGCTGCAAGATCCACAACAGATTCCTCCAGCTTGTTTTCGACCAGATTCTTGTCGTTTGCTAGTGATGGCTCCGCCCCGGTAGCAACAACTGGTTGCAAAGCTGAAGAACCATGTTCATGAAGGTTTCCACTAGCACCTTCACGGTTGGTATCCACCTTGACCAGAAGTTCTTCAACCTTGTCATCAGCAGGTATCTTCACGACTGCAGTTGATGGCTCAATAGTGGACTCGACTGGTTGCAAAGCTGAAAAATTTCCACCCTCGTCACAAGAACTTTGAGACTTTGATTCCGTAGCTCGTGATGAAGCAATCTCAACCACAGAATCCCCTTGCTTGTCATCGGGAAGAACTTTCACGTCTGCAGATGATGGCTGCATTCCGGAGACAGATGGATGCAAAACTGAAAGACTCTCATCACCATTTGAAGGACTTTGAGGTGTTGATTCCACAATAGCAGCTATTTCGGAGTCCTCTGGCCTGTGATGAGGAGTCTTCCCGTCTGCAGATGATACCGGCAGACCAGAGATGAGTGGATCCAAAACTGAAACACTCTCACCATCTGCATTCATAACCTCTACGTCAGCCTTCACCGTCACAAGTTCCCCATGCTTCATGTCTGCGGATGATTGCATAATGGAGGCAGCTTGGTTCACAACTGGAAGACTACCAGTGTCTAAACCGCTAACCTTCCCGGAAGCAGCCTCCACCAGAGGTTGAAGCTGCTTCTCTTCCGAAAGAGCCTTCAAGCCAGCAGTAGAAGACTGCATAATAGATTCAGCTAATGGCTGCAATCCTGAAAGAATCTCACCATCTTGACAAGGATTTTCAGCTTTGGAATTTTCGGAGGTACTCTCCAACATGGATTCGTCCTGCTTCTCACCCAAAGAAGACTTCAAATCTGCAGTTGACGGCTGCACAAATGACTGCACACCTGCAGGAGACTCGCGATCTTCAAGATCCGTAACCTCTGCGGTAATCTCCACCATAGGTTCGTCTCGCTCGTCCCCCAGAGGAGTCCTCACGTTTGCAGTTGAGGGCTGCGTACTAGATGGAACAAAACCCTGCGAACCTGTAAGAGTCTCACCGTCTTCACAAGGGATTTCAGATTTGGAATCCGTAACCTCTGCGTTAATCTCCACCATAGGTTCGTCTCGCTCGTCCCCCAGAGGAGTCCTCACGTTTGCAGTTGAGGGCTGCGTACTAGATGGAACAAAACCCTGCGAACCTGTAAGAGTCTCACCGTCTTCAAAAGGGATTTCAGATTTGGAATCCGTAACCTCTGCGTTAATCTCCACCATAGGTTCGCCTCGCTCGTCCCCCAGAGGAGTCCTCACGTTTGCAGTTGAGGGCTGCGTACTAGATGGAACAAAACCCTGCGAACCTGTAAGATTCTCACCGTCTTCACAAGGGATTTCAGATTTGGAATCCGTAACCTCTGCGTTAATCTCCACCATAGGTTCGTCTCGCTCGTCCCCCAGAGGAGTCCTCACGTTTGCAGTTGAGGGCTGCGTACTAGATGGAACAAAACCCTGCGAACCTGTAAGAGTCTCACCGTCTTCACAAGGGATTTCAGATTTGGAATCCGTAACCTCTGCGGTAATCTCCACCATAGGTTCGTCTCGCTCGTCCCCCAGTGGAGTCCTCACGTTGGCAGTTGAGGGCTGCGTACTAGATGGAACAAAACCCTGCGAACCTGTAAGAGTCTCACCGTCTTCACAAGGGATTTCAGATTTGGAATCCGTAACCTCTGCGTTATTCTCCACCATAGGTTCGTCTCGCTCGTCCCCCAGAGGAGTCCTCACGTTGGCAGTTGAGGGCTGCGTACTAGATGGAACAAAACCCTGCGAACCTGTAAGAGTCTCACCGTCTTCACAAGGGATTTCAGATTTGGAATCCGTAACCTCTGCGTTAATCTCCACCATAGGTTCGTCTCGCTCGTCCCCCAGAGGAGTCCTCACGTTTGCAGTTGAGGGCTGCGTACTAGATGGAACAAAACCCTGCGAACCTGTAAGAGTCTCACCGTCTTCACAAGGGATTTCAGATTTGGAATCCGTAACCTCTGCGGTAATCTCCACCATAGGTTCGTCTCGCTCGTCCCCCAGAGGAGTCGTCACGTTTGCAGTTGAGGGCTGCATACTAGATGGAACAAAACCCTGCGAACCTGTAAGAGTCTCAACGTCTTCACAATGGATTTCAGATTTGGAATCCGTAACCTCTGCGTTATTCCCCACCATAGGTTCGTCTCGCTCGTCCCCCAGAGGAGTCCTCACGTTGGCAGTTGAGGGCTGCGTACTAGATGGAACAAAACCCTGCGAACCTGTAAGAGTCTCACCATCCTCAAAAGAGGTTTCAGGTTTGGAATTCGTAATCTCTGCGGTAATCTCCACCATAGGTTCGTCCTGCATGTTCCCCAGAGGTGTCTTCACGTCTGCAGTTGAAGGCTGGTTACTACATGCAACACATGACTCCAAACCTGAAGAAGTCTCACCATCTTCACGAGGAATATATATATCTTCACGAGTAACCTCCATCGAAGCTACTTCCTGAGAAGTTGGAGTCTTCATGACTGCAGTTGACGGCTCCTCACTTGAAATGCCAGCAGTGGAAACCAGCACCTCAGACGCAGCAATGTCAACCGAAGTGCTGTCTAAGGAGGTATTGGTGACAAGTTTCACACCCTCTCTGATTTCTGAAGGAGCTCCTGAACACAGTCCACAAAGGTGTTGTGTTAAACAGGAATTCTTAATACCCAGTAAAGATTATGGACACTTGCAGAGAAATGACCTGAACTGAAGTCCGGAGATAAGAAACTGCCGGTCAAAAATCTGATGAGAACATGCAAAGCAACCGCTTGCCTTACAACACGCTCATACAAGGCTCTTAAAAAGTGAAATACTACATGAGGATAAGTCACCATAGTGAGAATGACACAAACCAAGCTGGAGAAAAACAGCCTGATTCGCATTTAAGGTACTCCCACAAAGGTAGCCCTCTTCCAGTGAGACTACAATTACCCATTAGAGCTGCAGAGCAGTACCTGCTATCGGCTTCGATTCATCCACTGGTGAATTGCCCGTATCGATACACATATCTGAAGGAATTTCGTCACACACAGATGGAGTGATCTGGCTAGGATCCACACTAAACGTTGTAGTTGGTTCACGATGAGGCTGAAGATCTTCCTCTAATAACAACACAGTGGGACTGTCTTTACCGATATAGGTTGGGGATACCACAACACCTTCACAACCTCCGTGCTCAAGAATGCTGACTGCATGGGGGATCACGACGGCAGGCCCAGACTTATCCACGGTTTCCTGGCTGTGCTCCAATTTCTCAGAGTCATGTGAACTTCCGGAACTATCTATGCTTAAAGGCAGTTCAACGGTGACTGAGGAATGGATATTCACAATCTCTTCTTGAGACTCCACTGCCGCAATAGAGCTGCATCTTCCACTTTCAGCGAACAAATTCTCGATAAGCGGATTGCTGCTTAAAATCAACTCATGTGATTCCCCAATCTCTAAACAAATAGGTTCACTTAAAATCAGGAGTGGAGCCACCTCGTTCCCTCCACTTAAATTAAGTGATTCTCTGGTTACTTTGTCTGTAACATCGGGAACATCTCCGGCTAGTGAAACGGGCATTGGTTCTGTTACGGCCTCCACAGAGACCACGGCCGCTTTAGATGCATCGTTATCTTCTCCATCTAACATCTCTGTATCTGGTCTCAAACCTGGTGGAGAACTTGAAGTCAAAATTCTCTTACTGATTTCCTCACCGCTGAGAGGAGTTGCTGCTACATGACTAGTCTCTTGTCTAAGAAGACTAGATGCAACGACCAAGTTTGCGGTGGTACATGTTGTACACCCATCATCGCTGGCGGGTTTGCCTCCCACCTGGTCCTGTTGTACACTCATAAGTAGAGAAGTTTGAACCTCCGCTGAATGTTCTAACAGATCTTGGTTCTCCGTACAAGGTGCTTCAACAGCATCTCCACTGTCGCATGCAGTACCACCGACAGTTGTGGACCTATCAGCTGTTTCTGACGGACCAGAGCCGCTTTCCATCAACGCTGTGGACCTTGTTTGAGTAGCCAGTGCACAGGGACCCTTATCCTCTGAGACCTGCTCTGTTTGACTAGGACTTTCATCATCTGAATCATACGTTGTTATTAAAGAAAGAGATCCCATTTTTGTATCATCTTCCGCGGGTTCACTAATGTCTGCACGGAAAGCAGGTGATACAATCAAAACAGAGTCAACGACCACTGAAGGTACACATGAGAGCCCAGCTTCTGAGTTGATGAGGTTAGGATTTGCAACACTCTCTTGGGTCAGACCCTCAACAACTTCCACATTCTGCTCCAGTGCAATGCACGAGGCGGTCGGAGAGGTATCTTCAGCCACAATCAGCACTGAAGATGAATCCACAGTTTTCAGACAATGACCTACTACGCTGGAGTGAAATCCTTCCTCGCCTGTAAGGACGACGTCCGCATCTGTTCCCATCACTGCGACACTTGGCTCGCTGATTACAACTCCCTTCCCATCTTCAACATCTGATGGGGACACATCTTCGGCCTTCCGATGAATCTTTCCCACATCACGGTTATCTTGGTTGGAGTCCATTGGCGTAGGTTCACTACCTAAATTTGCTGTAGACAGTAAAATATCCCCTCTCTTCTCTAGGAGGCGCTCAACATCGGTAGAAGATACGACAGGCCCAGAGGACACATTTACATCTACATCAGGTGATACAATCAAAACAGAGTCAACGACCACTGAAGGTACACATGAGAGCTCAGCTTCTGAGTTGATGAGGTTAGGATTTGCAACACTCTCTTGGGTCAGACCCTCAACAGCTTCCACATTCTGCTCCAGTGCAATGCACGAGGCGGTCGGAGAGGTATCTTCAGCCACAATCGGCACTGAAGATGAATCCACAGTTTTCAGACACTGACCTACTACGCTGGAGTGATATCCTTCCTCGCCTGTAAGGACGACGTCCGCATCTGTTCCCATCACTGCGACACTTGGCTCGCTGACTACAACTCCCTCCCCATCTTCAACATCTGATGGGGACACATCTTCGGCCTTCCGATGAATCTTTCCCACATCACGGTTATCTTGATTACAGTCCATTGGCGTAGGTTCACTACCTAAATTTGCTGTAGACAGTAAAATATCCCCTGTCTTCTCTAGGAGGCGCTCGACATCGGTAGAAGACACAACAGGCCCAGAGGGCACATTTACATCTACATCCATGAGATCGGGCTCTTCCATAGGTATATTACATTCGTTCCCCAGAGGTTGAGGGCTTGTAGTTTCTTCAAGACGGTTCGTTTTGAATTCTGCCTCTACAGGTAGCACCAACTCCTTTACGCCAGATAACTTATCACTTTCTGAAGCTGCGTAAACATGGGATAAATGAGCATCAACAACATCTACAGAATCTCTAGACCTAGGGTCCAGCTCAGATTTAGGCTCTGCACTCTTAAGTCCTTCCTCAACGTCACCATGTTCAACTGCATGGACGTCTACGGCAAGACTATTACGGACCTCACTCTCCTCTCTTAGCAAACCCTTGAGAGTCACCCCTTCATCAGCTCCGACTTCCAATACTATCTGATCTGGCTCGTTCGGAGACGAAGACGAGTCTAACCCGGCTGTGGAAATTGATGTGACAGGTGCTTCATCACTGCAATCGGTCCGCAATAATTGACACTCTGAGATAGAAGGCAACACCCCACTGTTTGTACTCAGAGCTAAACTATCTACATCACTTCCACCAAAAATATTGGTGGATTTCAAACCAGACTCTTCCACAGCTTCATCGGCCCCATCCGCGAGCTCCTCAGTAGATGTGTCGATTGACATAGTCATCTCTGCCTTAAGTTCTGTAGGTCGCACATCTGCGGGATCAGTACCAGTGACGGTGCCTGAAGGATTATCTAAGGAGGTATCGGTGTATGAACCAATCGCATCCATTGTCTCCCCCTCCCTACTTTCTAAGGCTGGTTGATTACATACCACTGAGGTTATCACCCTGATCTCTTGGACGGCTTCCCGAATGAAGTCGCTGGCCTCTTCACCCAGTAAACCAATAGGACAGATCGACTTGAACTTACTAGATCCTGGGCTTTGCTCATCAGAACGAGCAGTGTCATTTGAGGTAATAACTACAGCCGGCTTCAAGGCTTCTTCAGCCATGTCACTGATCCCCGTCGTCGGCGTGGCAACCAACATGGCCGTTCCCCTCTGAGCTGAACCGCCTTCAACAGCTTCCCTTACCAAGAAATCGGACACAGTTTCAAATGGAACAAGGTCAGCCATACTTACTGCCTCTCCTTCATTAGGTCCCATTCCTGGTACTTGGTTATCATCATTTTCTAGCGATGCTTTATTCCCACCTTGGTCAGTACAAACCAAGATGTCTCTGTCAGCTTCAACAGTATCGGTTAGCCGACTTGTCTCTGAACTGAGGAGAGAATTTCCAGACCCATCTCCGGAGGCTACATCACCACTCCCTCCGTAACTACAATCCATTATCACTGCAGCACAGGTTGATTGGTTTGTCAAAGCAATGCTATCTTCCGTTGCATCTTTGGTAGTAGACTCGCTAGAGCCACTCATGCCGTCATTGTCAAGGTTCTCCAAACCGACTGCAGCAGTTTCCAGCACCACCCCATCGGTCTCTAGAAGAATTGGTGCAGGTATATCTATGTCGGTAACAAGTTTTGATTCGGTTGATCCTTCTACAGGCTCATCCATTTTAGCCATTTCACTCCCTGTTACCGATGAAGAAGAATGATCCTTATAGTCTACAGCTACAACAAAACTCGATTCCAGATTCGTGGATCTGAAATCTTCCCTTACGACCTCTACAGTTTCACAGAGTATGTTTCTAGACTCTACAGGGTTGTTCGATACAATCACTGGTTTCGAAACAGGACTGGTATCTCCTGCAAGAAGTTCTTCCTCAACTACATCATTACATGGGGTAATGTCCATGGGATCTTCTACATCTGTCGCTACGACTGACTGCCTAATGCTAACAGTATTTGCCACTTCCTTAATAGCTACTCCCACCATAGGATCCCTTCCTTCTTCCACAGGTGAGGGAAAGTCTTTCGACATGCCTTCGGCGCTATCAATGACGTTCTCCTCGTGGAACTGAACAACATCCTCCCTAACACCTCCTGTCGTGGTATGTGAACAAATGATACCTGAACTATATTCTACAGTCACCTCAATATTAGGCTCAGCCGCCATAGTAATTTCCTCGGCTTGTTTGGCTGTGTTCCCTGCTTCCACCTCCTTATGCTCTTCAAGATGTGAGATGAATCCCAACAAAACTTCGGAGTCTGGTCTCAAAGAATTACTACAATCCACAAGCCCCTCCATGCTGCGGTCAGCGGATACAATAAGTTGGTTGGTTTGCTCCGTAAGGTTTCCTGCTTCCATACCAAAGACATTCTCAGTAGGAGAGGCGTTTCCTGTCATATCCTCAGATGCTGAATCCCCAGCTTTACCCTCCTGATTGTTTTTCTCAACCCGTAAAGAACCATTTAGGCTAGAATCTTCACCAGACCTCTCATTAATCTCTTCCTGTGTGATGGGAACATGCGGTAAGACTGCTTGTACAACAGAATCTCCGAGTAACACATCCCTACATATCCCTACATTCAAGGTGGCGTTTTCCGTGGTTGATACAGAGCTCTTAGCCTCTCGGTCGCTGCATTCCTGCTGCACTCCTTCGCAAACTAAGATAGGCCTCACGGTTGGATGGTACATGCTCTCTATATGCGATTCGATGGCTGGCACACCACTAAGTCCTGATCGGTCTTCAGCTACATCTCTCACCTCTTGCATCGAGGAGTCTTCCTGCGGGTGAAACCCTCCATCACCGTGCTCGGATCCATCCATGCTTCTACCTACTGAACGGGCATTAAGCTTGACTTTTTCATGGTCCAAATTGGAGTTCACGTGAATAATATCTGTAACCACCTGAGTGTCATCTGCATTACTACTGGCAACCCTCTCCTCGAACTCATCGATAGCTTCTGTGTGTGGAACAATAACTCTCTCCTCCAACACATCCTTCACGCGTTCTTTTTGAAAATCACCCTTATCATTTAAGACTGAATCTACGTCAGAGATCGATACGGTGGATTGTAATCTTTCTACTTCGAGTACCTGCATGACTTCGATAGGTGTCGGTGATGGTATCATCATCTCTACGTCATCTACGCCTTCAGCCTCGCTACGAGCTTTCGGGAGGATCTCAGAACTTAATGGCCTACTGTTGCCTACTTGAAACAAATCAGGAGGTCTGGAAGTGGGACTACGGTCAAAAGGCTGGGCAATTTCAGAAACAAGCAGAGAGGGCTCTAAACTCGATCGCTCCACTCTATCTTCTTCACCCTCTGCTAGAACTTCTTTCAAGCTTGTGGGAGTTGTCAGGACCTCAGGCTTTACGATGTCGAGTTTCGACTCTTCCACAACTAAAATATCCCCGGCAACGACTGCGATGAGCGTGTCCCCTTCATCGCGTTCCATCGGCTCGATATGCTTGTCTATATTAGAGGATAACGAGATTGACTTGCTTTCCTGCATCATATCTGGAATCTCAACCACAACAGTGTCACTGGCACACCCCACTTCGTTGGGCTTGAGTTTGCTGTGAGTGGATTCAGCTAAGATTGGAAGGCTAGTTTCCCCATCTATCTTTTCAGACGTCCTTGTCGACACTCTGCTGATAGTTGGCTCCCCTTCACTACATTCGATAGACACATTATCGTCTCTAATGGACTCCATCGAAACAGGATCGGTGCTTTCGTCAGGACCTTTCTGCTTGGGAATCGCTAATAAAACATCACTGCTATTGACAACTTCGGTGGTATTAACGCCTTTTAACACCACCTGCATGACCTCTTCTGGAGCTGATCCAGGTGAATGCGCAGATCTAACTCCTCTAATCTCAGGACTACCTGTCGTACGTATTTCAGCAGCTCCATCTACCACTTCTGTAGAAACTACCAAAGAACTGGATTCCTCATGACGATGAGGCGTGATGGCTGCCTTTGGCGAATCTGGGATACAAGGATCTGCTTGATCTCTGTCCACAATCGAATGTTCATGGATGATGCTCATAGGATACGCATCCTTCTCAACAGAGCTAAAGGTTGAGTGATTCACATCGCTCTTTTCGTTCGCAGTTGTCCACTCAACGATATTTGCGTTTCCTTGAAAAGCTCTTGCTAAACGTGATTGCGACTCAGAGACAGAACTAATATCTTCGGGTCGGTCCGCCTGATTCGTATCAGAGGGGTCAAGACACGCTATCCCTGCTTGAAGAGGAATTCCAAGACCAGTGTCAACTGTTGAAACAGTAGATCCCACACCTCTGGGTGACGTTACTACGGCAGGTTCACAGCTCACTCCCTCTTCGTCTTTTGACGCATTATTAGGATCCGCACTTTTATCACCTCTAACAACATTTGTTGGTTCCACATCAGATAGCGGTAAAATATCCCCCGAGGCTTGTTCAGATGCAATGGCTGGAAGCTCTGAACTGGAACTATTCAACACAGTTTTGTATGATGGGATTTCCGCTAAGGCTGAAGCATTGACATCAGCAGCATTGCTGGATTTCGGAATATATCCTATTTCTGTATCACCATCAACATATCCCTCAGTTGAATTCTTCGATGGAACAATATCTACTTCAGTACCGCTTTTCGCATTCAAAGAACCTGACTTTGATGAAGCTGAAGTTATAAGTGACAACACCACGTTCTCCCCCTCTCCCGACACAGTCATTCCACCTGTCGCAAAGATATCTGTAGCACCGGAAAGGTGTTGTTTCGATGTTGTTTCATTTGTAAGATCTAGATCAGGATGGTCGAGAGAGTCCCCTACGACTGCCTTTTGATCACTTCTTTCGTCCAATCTCATATCGCTGACTTCTTCAAGACTAGCTTCCTCCTTAGGTAAATTCGAGTCTGGTAAAGCTATACTTGATTTCGCAGCAACAGCCTCATCGACTACCATGCTGACGACGGGACAGGTTGCGTTCTGGTCGATACTGGATACTGCACAAGGCGAAACTACATCTCTTGATGGCACATGTTTCGTTGACACCACAGAGGTATCTATGTTGACAGGTTGAGAAGTGGGATGCATAGAAGCACTATCTATAACCAATTTTTCGTTGGTAGCAGAAGCGTCACATTCAGTGTCTTCCACAAGGGCTGAAGTAGTGATACCTACTTCGTCCCTACCGCCACCAACAATAGCTGGAGATCCAGGTTTCACACAACTAAATCCTTCACATCCTTTGAAGGGTACATCAACTCCTGCGCCTTCACTCCACGGTGAAACTAAGGCACTTGAGAGTTGGTCAGAGGCATTTGACCCAAGTACAATAGGGTGCTCCTGCTTCTGGACTGAGCTGGAATCATCTTTGATCAAACTAGCAGTCAAAGATTTAGCAACTACTCCTGTACCGTCCAGAATATCAGAAGGGTTTTTAGCAAGTATTGACAGAACAAGTTTAGAGTTCCCACCTTGACCAACGGCAAGATCGGTTTCTAGGACGCTACGATCGTGAGGCTCAGAGACCGTCTTCGCTTCAGTACGACTATGTGCCAATTTCATCGAAGAAGCTTCCTCACTTACGATGCTGGACAATTGTTCTGCACGATCTTGTACGGTTGGTAAATCTGCCAATACAAACCCGTTAGAAGGAATCACGAATTCCCAAGTACTCGACAGTAAACTATGAAAGTAAGGCACAAGTCAGCGACTGCATTTACGATAAAAAATTCACCCTCAAGATTCACACGCTTTGTAAGGATTCACATATAAAGCTCTCAAAAGGGCTGAAGAAAGAGTAAACAAGTAAGACCATCAGATCAGCTTGTGAAGCTGACTCCAATGGCAGGAAAGAGGAAAACTGGTGAACTTGGCCACCACACCGTTTTATCCACAGCCATCACAGCTTCAGCTAGCACAGAACAGCTGACAACTGTTAGACCTAGACACCAAGGTGATGAAACTTGAACCACAAAATAGGAGCTATTCACGGCCAACTGATACCTTTTTCACTCTTCAGAATATTCTTCAAAGTATCTGCTGAGAGTATTTGCTTTCCGTCAACGCCAGTATTGATACTAGGCTCGTTGTCGATGATACTTAGAGCAACCGCTGCTGGACTCAAGCTCACAACTGTACCCTCAGGATGTGCTGATGATAAGGTAATTCCTTCGGGTTGAGTCGCTTCCAGCTTCATATCTTGGTCAACCCCTACAGGGTCTTCAGAAACATTCCCAATAATCTTCACGTCTGTAAAGATTCGAATTTGCTTTGGATCAGTATTACCTGGATGGATAACATGGGCGGGTCTTCCACCTTGCTTTGACACTACGAATAATCATATTTGAGAACTTTTACGTATCAGTGAGTACGGAGGTTCACGAACTTATGATTGTCCGTCACATTATGAGAAAACTTCATACTTCTATCTGGAAGCTCGGAAGAAGTGAATCCTTTGATATATTTCACTGCTTGAAACCGTTCAAAACGTTCCAATCTTGAAGTACGAAATAAAGGCAAAACCCGCAATAGAAAGACAATCTTAAGCAAGTCAGAACTACAAGCAAAGTGATAATCTGTCGACAATCTGAAATTTGCATGGGTTTTAGAGGAGAAAATGAACTACCTCCCAAAGGTGTGGAGGCTGGAGTTTGCGTTGCGGCGGTAGTAGGAACTACTTTCCGATTTCCCATAGAGTCATTACGTGGCAAGGTTTTCTCCAGGGCACCAGACTGCTCCTTTTCGACCGTAACAAGTGTTGGCTTTGGAGGTGCCAATTTGTTTCTTTCTGCGCTTCCATCACTTAAGAAGCTAGATTTACTAGCTGCAACGATTTCCGGCGCCTTAAAAGCCTCCTGCAGTGGCTCATTTCGTATAACATCTTGCGTTATCTGTGGTGGTTTCCCAAAAGGCGGTTCTCCAGAAGGCTTGGGTAACTGCACACTGGAGCTTCCGGATCTAGATATGAGCAAATCGGAGAAGTTTGGCCTGGACTTTTGAGTTTCTCCTGGAGGTGTTAAGAGTGATGAAACTAAGGCAGAAATGGCACCTCTCCATCCCTCACGTTGCACATTTGATGTAGTGGCGCCACTAGACTTTGGTAGGTGAGAACCACTAGCCCCTTCCTCTGATCTACTATCAACTTTGGCAACCACATGTGATGAAGACTGGTAAACAGGTGCCTTTGGTCCAGACACAACATCTGCCTCACACAGCTTCAGATCACTCGATGCTGTATCAATCGGCACAGCTGAAGCAACAGGTCCAGGTGGAGATACAGAAGCAGGAACCTCCCCTTGGCTAGGTTGTGAGGTCACTGGATCAATTGGTCTGGAAACAGAAAGGAGAGATCCGGACACAACACTTTCCACGACACTTTCTGGCGTGCTATCACTGACCTTCTGATGATCTGGTTCTCTGACCGTCGGAGCTAATCCAGTTCTTTCTGCACCACGAACATCTAGTGCAATCACGCCCTTTCGCGTTCCCAGCGAAACAAAACTTGAAGATTGCTTCAAATCAGGAGTAGACGTCCTTCCTTCCATTTCCTTTGGAGAGTTCTGAGTCGAGATGGGTGTGCGCAATGCAGATGCTTGCGGCTGTCCATGTGCGTCCAGACTACTTTTGGATATCTTAGACCCATCCGCAGAGACAGCCGCATTTTGGCCGGCATTGCTAACAACCTCGTCTTTTGAGGATGCTGCACCAGTCACTTTTGAGGAAGCAACTTCATATATCCCTGTGTTCATCGGGCCCACAGAGGGTGCACCTTTCACGCTCTCTCTTCCAACAACGGAGGGTGCACTCAAGAGCTCAACACCTGCAACATGGTTCGGCTTGTCAACTGCCTTACTTTGTACTAATCCAGCACTTGCCAACCCCTTATTGCCTGTTTCTGCTGGCATCGGTATTGATTCAGAGCCAGTGCTTGATTTTACTGAAGGTCTAAGATTCGGTTGATCCAAGTTAGATGGTGAACTCTTAGGTAGACCAGAAAACACGTCTCGTTTTCTTTTATCCGTTGGACCTGACTTAGCAGCTTCAATTTCTGGTTTTCTTGCGACCTCACTCTCTGAGATGAGACTTTTCTCTTCAGACGGCATACCTCCCTCGTCCTTCCCACACTCTAATCCAGCGTTGGCCTTCACCTCCTGTAACTTGCTCTTCTCATTGCTCATTATAACTGTAGTCGATGAGGTGCTCGGAATTTCCTTCACAGGACCCTTCAGTGTACCTGTTTCCCCCTCCGAAGTTATTGGAACGACTGGAGGTGCAATTGTCGCTAAAGCTGCCACTCCAGGTAGACCACGAGCTGTACTATCTGTCACATCCGTCTTTGTAGTCTCCAAAGTTGAAGCAGACGCAGAGACTGATGAGCTCCCTGCCCTAGAAGGCCTGGCCTTAGGTAGCGGTTTCTCAAGCATGGAGGGTACTGGAGTTTTAACAATTTCCTGCTCTGAACTTGCTTTATGGACTTTAGAAGATTTAGCAGTTGACTGGCCCGTCAGAGGCTGAGGCCCCAGCGCTGTCACAGTTTCCCGCGAAGACGTAGCTGCTGATTTTTCTGGAGCTACTTTTGAACTTGCAGAGACTCGTCCTGTGCTTACCCGTTTAGTTTCGAAACCCTTTGCCTCTGCTGGACTGTGCTTCCCGATGGCCAAGCTCCCACTCTCAATGGCTGACTTCAACGTGTCAATTCCAGCTGGCAATGCCATAGACGCAAGTTTAGTTGCAGACGGTGCTACTAAAGAAGCAGATTTGCTACCAACATTGGTGTTGTCAGCAGCAGAACTTCTACTGGTGGGAGAACCTGTAGTAGACAGAAGCTTTTCTGAAACAAGATCAGTACTGGTGCGCGTGCCCGCTTTGGATGCCGAACCCCCTACTTTTTGCTTACTAACTCTGGCCAACGGCGAACCACTAGATGCATCAAGGTCTGCAGCAGCAACGCGTGAAGCCTTGGACTTCCCTGTGGACTTAGATGTACGGCCCTGCATGTTTCTTCCTTGAGCCAACACATCAGACACAGCTGCTTTGATACCACCGATACCAATACTATCGCCAGTCCTCATATCCCCGATCATACTTTTGACCTCCCCCATCACTTTGGCAATTTCAGTAACTATTGTCGGAGCTGGCTGAGAGACTGTGATTTTCGTGCTCCCAGAAGGCTCTTGACTGGGAGTTCTCCTCTCCAATGAAGGATTCGGTGTTGTACTCGGCAATGTAGAGCCTCGAGATCTAACTGGTGTCGGTGTGGAAGAAGCCCCGACAGAACTTTGAACACCTGATGAGAGATGCAATCCCTGAACAAGACCAGATACTCCTACTGCCGTCACAGGAGTTACTGGAATGACTGTCGCGGAATGACTTACATCAGAACTCACTCTCGCGGGGATTTGAGGCTTCTCCGAGTTCGAGCCCTGAGTCTCCCGAGAGATCTCAACGGACTTTGAGGTGATCTGACTGCTTGAAGCTGCGGGAACCTTGCTTGAAAGCTGCTGCAACTTTCGCTTACCGGACTGAGGTCTAGTCGTTCCTTTCAGAGACTGAGCTGGCGTTGTTGCCTGCAGTGCAACCGCTGACAGGATTTTGCTGGGTTCACTAGTAGCCGCAGGAGTAGGAAGATTTACAGCAGTTTTAGCCGGAGCCACATTGATCTTAGCAACTTTCGCTGCTTCAACACTTTCCAGGGCTTTGTCTTGAAGAGGAAGTACAGACTGGGAGGGACCAACTACTACACCACTGGGCACTTTGTCTCTGTTCCTCGCGGACTTCTTCCACCGCTGGTTAGTAGCCGCCTTCGTAGCCTGGCTATCCTGTACTAGCGGTTTGGAACCCACTTCTGAGTTTTGTGAAGCTGGTCGCTTAAGGTTCTCATCCTTCGGAAGGTCTACCGGCCTCTGAGCTCCAGATACTTTACTCCCTTCGCCATAAGCATGGGCAGAACCTTGCTTACTCTGGCCCAGCGTCAAAAGAGCTCCTGGTTTCCCCGCTTCAACAGCTTTGGAGACGGAAGAAATTTCAGGTAACTTGGTACTGCTTCGAAATTCTTCAGAAGCCTGGGCCAGAATCTGTTTCCCTCTTTCCATTAGAGACGGTGTTCCTGACTTCGCTCCTCCAGCTACTTTGACTATATCCAGAGGATTCTCAGACATTTTCGAAGCCAGCGCCTGTACCTGTTTCCCCCGCTCCAACAGTGACAACATTGTCGACTTTCCAAGTTCTGGTGCCTTCGCCATGACGGCGGCAGGATCGGATGACTTGCTACGTACTTCAGGGGCGGCTTTCGACGCTTCTGAATTAGTAGCCGTCGCCGCAAGAGATTGCCCGGCAACTTGCTTCCCAGTATCTACTAATTGGAGAACTTGGGCATTAGAAGTTCCCACTGTGCTTCCACCAACAACAGGTTTTTCTGCTAGACTGGTCGCATTGTCTTGCACTGCGGTTGGCTTTTCCACGACTGCCGCCTTCACAGCTGCAGTTGAACTCTGAGCAGATGCTTTTCTTCTTGCGGCTGCTCTTGCAGCGGCTCTCTTCCTTCCAGTCTCAACTTTGCTTGCAGGCATAGCCTTTTGACCAGCCACATCACTGCCTCGTTCATCGACATTCAACTTGCCTTGTTCAGCTGTTGTAACACCAGAAGAGAAGGTAGGAACAGCCTTGTCTTTGCTACCTTCAGATAAAAGACCCACCGCCGCTTTTTCTGGAGCAGCAACCGGCGAGAGTACTCCGACCTTCGCGACAGAGTTCGCAGGTTGGGTTTGGATAGATGACGGTTGTTTGCCACTGTCAACAATAGCAACGGTTGTTGCTTTCCCAGGGTTGGAAGAAATGTTCGTAGCAGATAGGACGGCATCAGAAGTACCAGTTGTCGTGTTATCCTTGCTTTGCAAACCTTGTGCTCTTTGAGCTTTAGATGTTGGTGCAGCCCTATTCCCATCATTTGAAGTCACATCTAAAGTTCCTTTGGAACTCACATCTTTCCCTGATCGAGAAGACTTTTGCTGAAAGACACTGGCAGGACCATCAGAGTTATTCTGGACGAGTTTACCAGCCGTAGTGGCTTCCCTTGCACTAGTCTGCCCAGACAGCCCAGCACTGCCTTGAGCTTTTTCCTTTATTTGCGTGCCATGCTGTCGGGAAGACTGTTGTGAAGTCTTGTCCAGAGTAGAAATTGTCAACCTTGAAGAATCTGTGGCAACTGATTTCACGGACTGACTAGAAGGCAAAGCCATAGCTCCAGTGGTGGCCAGCCTCAAACTATCAGTGACAACAGCCATCCCGACTGGTGTTGGTGATAGTCCGATCTCCTTTCCAGCAGCACCACCTGAAGGTAACTTCTGAGACTTGGATGCTCGACCTTCAGTGGCACCTTGAAGTGGTCGTTTTCCTGTAAGCGCTTCTGTTGCAGTTGAAGAACCGGCTGCGACACTGGCACTCTGTGATTTATCTCTAGCTAGAGGATCCTGTGGCCTCTGTGCCAATTTCAGCGGCTGCATTGCTGCAATATCTGCTGCAAGAGCTCTTCCCACTTCAGCAGGTGATACGAGAGGAAGTCTTCGCCCAAGAGCTTCGTCCATAAGCCGCTGAAAAGTACCAGTTGGAGGAAGCCGCCCATCCACACCACTCTGAACGGGTTTAGCGATGGCCAGGCCCTGAGTCTTACCACTCTGTGTGTATGCAGAGAGAGAAGCCAAAGACGTAGCCATTGCGGCACTAATCGGTAGTCTTGCTTGAGCTGATGGTGAAACCAACGGCGTAGATGTCGTCGCACTTGCAGAAGTCTTTACATGCAAAGGAGATATGCTCACAGTGGATGAAGAAGTACCAGTTGATTGCGATTTTCCCTGCGCTGAGGATAAACCCAACAGAGAAGACACGCCTCCACTTGCTTGAGACTTGCTCTTTCCAGCCAATGCACCCAATGAGCTTGATACAGCAGTTGTGGACTGGGATTTTGTTTGAGCTGTTGCTGAACTCGGAGAAGGCATAACAGCCGTACTTGTCTGCACTGTGGTCAATCCCAACGACGTTGGCAAAGCTGGAATTGGTAATTTCGTCTGAGCCAAGGGTGATGCCAAAGAGGAAAGAAGTGTGCTTACACCCGGCGACGATATCTTTGCAGACACGTTACTTCCTTCTGGTGTACCTCCAGTGCTGCTTGGTATTTTACTCAATGCAGGAACTGAACTCAAAGAAGACGCCAATCCACTACCTTGAGATCTGGCGTGTGCGGATGATGACTTCAAAGAAGAAGACACACCTGCAGAACTTGTGGGCTTTGAAGTTAAAGGAGACGAGCTCAACAAAGAAGACGCGGCACTGCTACTTTGCAACTTGTTGGAAGCAGCGGATGACGGCAACGGAACTGACAAAGTTGGAGTGGACTCCAAGCTGGTCTGCACGAAGGATAAACCCATAGAAGAAGGGGCTGCAATACTGGCTTGCATTCTCGTCACCGCAGAGGGCGAACTCAAAGATAGAGGGAGTGGAGCAGAAACGGTTTGTAGTCTTGCTGAAGCCGCTAACAATGAATCCGATAGTGACGTACTGGTCTGCACTTTAGCCTGAGCAGGAACAACAGACGGAGCCAGTGAAGAGGTCCCTTGCTTCTTAGTCTTTGCACTAGACCTCGGTTTTGGACCTCCTTTGACAACCGGGGCAGGGCTGCTAACATTCACCGTGGGAATTACAGGGGGTAGCTTGCCAGTATCAGAAGACACAGAGGTAGCCATTGCGGCAGCTCTCCTTGCAAGAAATTCAGTCAACTTGCCTGTAGAACCAGCCTTAACCTCACTACCACCCTGAGCTCCTCTAGATGCCAATGCTTTCGAAGCTGGAACAGACGGTGTAGAGAAAGAAACAGGCATTGTGGTGATGGCAGATACTCTCTCTTTACCAGAGTTCGTCAACTTACTGCCGTCCTTCGTAGGTAGAACACCAAATCTCCCAACACTGATTGGTTCCACAGCTGCTGCTTTACCCAGGGCAGAAACTGGTGTAACTAGGGCGCGAGGTTGTACGTCAGACAGAACAGTTGACAACCCATCTGTGCTTACTTGACGAGATTCATCCAGTACCTTGGAGAGCTTATTCGTTTCCGAGTTAGTGCTACTAGAAGGAGCACTTTGAGAAGGAACCACTGAAAATGATGTAGAGATAGAAGACGTTTTCTCCTTTTGTTGCCCAAGCACGAGCCTTTGATTATCACTGACAGAGAGCTTATCTTTTTCTTGCAAAGACGCAAGAGACCTCGTTTTCTCTCCTTCCACTTTTTCAATCACTCCGCTGCTCGTGGCAGACGCACCTGCGGCAATTTCCCTAATGGCCTGGATAGTCTCGTTCATGAGTGCCGAAGCTTGAGAGTTAGGCACCACTCCCGACCCAGCAGGACTACCAATGTTCCCCACCTTTGGGACCGAATCACTCTGACTTACACGATTAATGGAGGACACCTTTTGTGAACCAGATGGAGACGGGACTAGAGCACCTTTCTTCGGCCTGCCCCGACCTTTTTTCACAGAAACAAGCTCAGACGCCTCTTCAACAACCTCCTCGGCAACTACAGGCTCAGGAATAGTTTGAGGCATCATATCCTCTCCTAGTTTACCTTTCCGGAGTCCCCGACCCCTGCCTGCATCAGGTTTCTTCTCCATATCAGGAACCCCGACGCGACACAATCTTTCAAACTCCTTCTCCGAGTATTGCTCTCCATAAGAACGAATCTGCAAGAAAAATATAACAGCTTTTACTCAACTGTGGACATGTTCACATCAGATCTCATATGAAACACTTAGGGTTCAAAGAAAAATTGAATCGGCTTTGAGGACGACATACACGTACCTCACGCGCACGCTTACCCCGCCCGTAGGCAGTGATATCCGTGGCTTTTTGTCGTTCCACAGCTTTCTCCAAGTTCGCTTTTTGGATTGCAGACAAGAAAGTGGCAAGCTCGCTTTCCATTACCAAACGCGGTGGGCGGGGAACAATCTCCTGACCGTTTCTCGACCTTTTACATTTTTCCCACAAGGTCTGCAGAAATTGGAATCTCTGAATTCTTAGTGATCCATTTTTTTCAGGTAATATGTATAAATGTACTCAACATGACAATACTACCAGGGGAATGATGTACAAAACAAAGACGGTTCACCTGCTCTTCCTGAATCCTTCGCCTGTCGACCGATTCAAAAATGTCGATCTCGGCATCGCTGTAAGACACGAGCATACCAAAACTTAAGAAACACCGGGCAGCAACCACAAAGCAGATACTTCCGGTCAAGTTTTGTGACACGGTCATGCCACATAACCTCACTAATTCTCTATATAGAACGAACGAATTATGACGATGTTTATCTTCAGAATTAATATAGGAAAATAGGACAGAAAGACAAAGAGGAAAATTAAGCTCGACTTTGTAGAGATACAACGAAAAGAGAATTCTATGAGTATATCAACGAGGAATGGAAAAAGATGACAACAGAAACATTTTACTGAAGAACTGAAGACTAAAATATCTTCTGCAAGTTTGAGTGAAACGAATCGCTATGCTCCGTAGTTCTGCTTCAAGGTAAAAATTCGTGAAAAATCAACCACAGACCTTCGAGCTAGGAGGTCGTTGAGGGCCTCGTCATCCAATACGGGCGCTACCTCCTCTTTCTTATTTTCCCGGAGAAGAGATTCGAGGTATTCTCGCCTATCTTCGGCGCTGCAAAGATTAACGACATTTACGAAAGATTATGATCACCATAAGACTAGTATGTTCGATAATTTACTGTAAACAGTTCAAGCATCTAGGACATTTTGTTGCTGACCCGTGCGCTTGTTTGTGTTAAACAGGTCTCGGTCATTCTCAATATCAAGTCTCCAGAAGTACGAACATGTAGGTCACCTACGGCTTTCTCGAAGTTCCGAGGAAAATAAAACACTATATGGGCCATCAATGGCGAGCAGACCAGCCTTCAGATGCGCAGTGTGAAATGACGTCCAAAGCACAGACATGGGAGTTCACGAGCTAACGTGATCATTAGAGGCTTCACATACCTCGTATTATCATCGAAGAATCCAGCTGTAATACTCTGATTTGCGACACCTAATTTGTACTCCGCGGCTGCCCTTACTTGCTCCTCTACAGTGTGAACCTGTATAAGCGCATACATAAGCTGTTCTATCAGAGCTTCCGAAAACATTACTATTGATCCTCGTTGGTGAACATAGCACTAGTTGCAAAAAAATCAGACCATGCAGTTCATCTGGTAAGGAGTTTGGGCCTTACCGTTTCCATACGTAATACAAGAACGTCGCGTTTCTGACCGATTCTGTGAGCTCTTGCTTGAGCTTGCAGGTCAACCTGACATGGACAAGCTCGCGAAATACCGCATTAGCAATGACGAACAGCAGCGCACACGCAAACAATACTTTATTTGACGACAAGGCCTGACAAGTTTTAAGAATGAATCAACCTCAGCGGCAAAATAAAGTACAGTGACTAAAAATCCCATACTAGCCACTCTCCATTTGAAACTCCTTCAGAGGCAGTAACCCACCTGAGGGTTCCAATCAGTATCGAAAATGATAACGGTATCTGCAGCCTGCAAGTTTATTCCGATACCTCCAGCTCGTATGCTGTCTCATCAAAGAAAAGACTCAGTAAAATCATTTGATTAAACGACGTAACTGACAATTTCTACATACTGAATCAAAGGATTCATCAGGTGAAATTGAAGCTCTCTAGCTCAGAGATTCAGATGCACGTCCGCAAAGCAGGCGCAGCCTATCCAACCAATCCTTTTATCCTACTTGCCAATTCACATCGTCGATTTTTTGATCCGCGTCAAAACAAGAAGAGCACAGAAGTTTCACGACAATCAGTTTGAGTGCATTAGCAGAAATTATAAGACAGGGTGGCAAATTGTTGGCTACCTCAGAAGAAAAATAAATGCTTCTGATTGGGGTGCATTAAACTTCTCAATAAGTGCACCACGCTCAGTTCCACCAGTCCCACCATCCAACCGCAAGTAGCGGTAATTTCTCCAGATCAAATAGTCCTCCATGACGTCCAGCAGCCTTGTCATCGTTGAGAAGAGGAGAACCTAGAATTGGAGGATGATACCGAAAAACGTCAATGAAAATGCCACAAGTCTTTAAAATTCAAAAAACAGCTATGTCGATACAGTAACAAAAGTAGGCTGTTTAGTTCAATCCCAACAACGTCACAGCGTAAAAAACGGAACAACCAGAATCCGCGCGTGGATTCATCGAAATTTGAGGAAGACATAATTCGTTGTATTCTGGCGCATTTCATCTGTTACTACAAACCTAATTACAATGTGATCGGAACTTACTCGATGATTAGCGGCTTTCAATTTTGGTAATATCCGGTCAAGCGTTTCCAGCTTTCCACACAGACGAACTATGGGAGGAAGATAGTGTTCAGGCATGAGTGTTTCGGCCTGTAAAATAGCATATCGTCAGTTAAAACGTGACTTGAAATAGCATATCTCAATTTTTCAACCGTGGCTGTTATAGCAGTAGTGGCACTTATAATGAGCACTCTCACCTCTTCAGTATGTAAGTGACTGATGAAGGGGTGATTGCAGATGTTCCGCAGTTCCATGACGGTGTTCTGTATTGACTTTCCCTGAACGATGGCAAGCGAATCAATCGGTAAGAGCAAAATCTTAAATATGAATCATGTGGAAAAGGCCTCAAAATATGTTGGACCAGAGGCGTGAAGATATCCAAACCAGAACGATCCTACCTTCGCATTTCCGAGCGAGCCCAGCTTTTCCTTCACGTGCTTCATCAAAAGCTTTTGATAGCCAGATGCTTCGCAACGCACAAGTCTTTCAATCTTTTCTGGTAGCTCGTTTTCGACCTGGTCAAAACAACAGACTCTTGTGATACAAAAACAAGGCATTCCAACAATATCCGGAGAATGTCAACAACATGCTTATGACTCTATCACTTAAAACATGGACAATATTTTTGCTATATGGGTATGTACCTGTCAGACTTCGAAAAATTTCCACACGGGAGCCTTTGTACACGGCTTCGTGTAACCCTATGAATAACAAGAACTAACTCACAGAGAACGATAGGATACATTCTCGTCACGCCTACACCATACTTTCGCAACGTACCTTCTGCTTCAGTCTTCGCAGCATGAACGGCCGAAGAACTTGATGTAGACGATTGATAATGAGAAGATTTTCTTCTTCGGTTAATAAGGCCTATATTCAAGCATCTATGTCAGGCCTTGACAACAACATTTATGGTTCAATATCCATGAATGCAGCTGAGGTTAGAAAGTATTACCTGATTAGGAGTATTATCCGACACGCTCTCAAATGGCTTATTAAACCACTGCGAAAAGTCATCAGAAGAATTGAAGATACTCGGTAATAGGAAATTCAAAAGAGCCCACAATTCTTCGAGATTATTCTGCGAGCCATAGGTGTCAAGTTACTTAGTTCAGTATTAGCCAAGACCGCTCACAGTGCTACATGATTGCATGGTAAGCGTCACGTTGCATATAGCCAAACCCGAACCTTGGAGCTCGAAGGTTTGAACATACCCCATTCAATACAAACGACAATTATCAACCGGGCTGCTCCGCAAAAAGTATGGACTAGTTGTGTTCAAAGCACATCGCATTACCTGATTGTATAAGAAAGGCTAAACAACCTCCACACAAAAGATTCCGAAGTTTCAAGTGCATGCATGTACCTGAATTGGAGTTCCAGTGAGCAATAGCCTGTGGCTGCTCTGATAATGCTTTAACTCAGCATTCAATTTGCAGGAAGCGTTTTTAATTCGATGACCTTCGTCAATGATGATGTAGTGCCAAGGAATCTTGCTCAGCTTAGGCCTATCATGCTTATTCATTAAAAACTCATAAGTAGTTATAAGGACGTTGAATTGCTGCTGAAGGACCTCCTCCCTGGTAACACAGCATTCCAACATTGATCAGAAGGCAGCTTCGGCTGAGATCAGCTTTAAAACCTCGAAAGTTTTGTGTGTAGACTCAAGTGATTAAAGGAGCAGTTTGTAAACTGTTCCTTTTCTAACTACAACTCATATCTTACTTGTAAAGCCGACGTCGCTCTTCAGGAGCTCCAGCATAGACGACTTTGGTCACTTTAGGGGCCCAGCGAGTAACTTCTGACAACCAATTGGGCAAGACAGAAGAAGGTACAACCACCAAAAAAGGGCCTCGATCTTGCTTTTTCTCAATTAAATGACAAAGCAGCGCAATAACCTGCTTCAATCAAAATATGAGTTATAACGTGCATACGATAAACGCCGGGCCTTGACTAGGCATTGCTGGCAGCAAAAGAGATAGAAAATGTAAAGCGACATAAAGCGGGAGGAATTCATTTTAATTTTTTTACAGGAAGAACTATCTGAAGATGAAAATGGATGAAAATGAAAATGGCATTTGTCAACGTAGGTGCGGTTAGTTCGCATCTTTACAGCTCTCAAGGAAGCAACCGACAATAGCTAACCGCGCTGATAGGTAATTCGAGTTTTCAAGAAATCCACAACTCGCTCACGAAACTGTGTGACTCGGTAAACCTATTCTCATTTGCATTTGAAGTAAGGCACCATTCGCCTTTGGATCTAGGCACGATGTGTGTTACAATAAACGAACACAAGTCCATTGGCAGCACAACTTCATGTCTCTGTTGCTGTGGATCGGCTATGGTTAGAAATGAAAGCGGTGAGTACGAATGTTGTGCAACAGTCACCTGCACGGTCTTCCCTAAACCCATTTCATCTGCCAGTATACCGTTCAACCGGTTGTTGTACAGTGAGACCATCCATCTCAGACCATTCATCTGGTATCTGCAGAAAGATGAAAGAGACCGATCACTTCAAAGAACACCTAAATTGATTTTCATACTGTACAGAGCAAATAATTACAAAACTCAGAGCAGAAGTGTCTCAATTAGACGAAGAAGTAAGACTCAAACCTGCAATTAAAATAAAATTTATCTCGCAAATGTACAGTCAAAACGATAGACGCTAAAGTGGCATTCAATCAACAACCCAAGAAACAAGAGACCAGAATAGAACAATATTAGAGTCGAATAATATTATTGGCATTAACGTACTCTCGCAGCTTCCCTCCTTCGAGGTAAAGTGGCTGATCGTCAATAACTTCTTTTACACTGCACCCAAAGGACAACCGGAGGTAACTCAGAGTGATCAAGTAATATATTCTTGTATCTGAAATACAAGAATCAGGTTCAAAATGTTCAAGTAAGGAGCCCTCTTTACTCTGCACCTAAAAACTGTAACTGTAGTAAGTACGTGACGACAAATTTTATCACGGTGAAACTTTAGAATTGAGAACAACACTAAGAATAATTAAATTAAAACAAATAGAACGAAAAGGTACTCCACTCAAACCTGCCGACGAAGATAGCAATTCTTCTACCATCTTAACTCTGAGACTTCAGGTAGTATACGTTCATATAACGCAAAGATAAACTCACCTATGTGCTAGTAGATAATACTTCTCATTGCTCTCCAAATAGTGCTGCACATAAAACGTTACCCAGCATTAGTGCTTGTTGAGACGCAAAAATTACAAACCAGACCAAAGAGACGAACTATGGGAATACTACCAACCTGAGTCTGATCTCTCCCAACGACCACCTCAGCAGCTGACTGCATCTCGACAACACTATCTTTGTTCTTCCCCTTCGTGCTGTCTTTTTGTTCGCGAAGCTTCACACCAAGCTTCTCAAGATATGCCTCTGTTTCTTTCAAAAGTTGCTCCACTCGATCTGATTTTTTATCCTGCAAGAGAAGGTGCTAAATATTACAAAAACCATACAAACCTCATACAATTCGCTAGTGCTTCAAAAAAGATCGATTTGATAAATGATGGCATGCTAGAAAATCTTAGTCTATTCCCTGCGTACCTGCACCATTCGTAGATAACCTTCCACATCATGGTTCTTAAGCAAATTAATCTTTTCTCGCTGAATTCTTTCGATCCTCTCTCGATGTGCTCGTTCTTTTCTCTTATGGAATTCCTTGACGTATCGGTTAATGACACGCCACCGCTCCTTCTTTACTTTGTAACAATCCTCCAACTTCTCCCTGTAACACGACGGCGTGAGAACTAGATTAACTACGTTATCATCTTGAAGAATTCTTGAAAACTTCAAAAACGCAAGTTCAGAGAGATTAAAAACTTTAAAAACGCGTCACCGTACAAGTCCATGAAGTAATAATCATATAAACTGGAGAGCCTAAAAGAAAAGAGAGGAAATCTCATTTCCTAAAAACTTGTACGCACCAATAAAGCGAATATATAAGCAACCTTTGAAACATAATAAACGCAGCGTACTCACTTGTGAATTTCAACCTCCCGGAAAAACTCTTTTTGTCTCTCGCGAATACGCCTTTGCCTCTCTTCTTTCTGTTTCGTCTCAAGCTTCTCTAGCTGCTTCAGACGTCTCCCTGGCCTACTTCTTCTCATGGACCTCAGCGCCGCGAGATCAGGACCATTGTTCTTGAAAAAATCGGTCAGAACATCTCTGAATTCGTACGAAGAAAGTACCATATCAATAAGATGTCAGAGGTTGTACATAAATTAACGGGAACGGACAGATGATATAAGAAGTAGGGTTACAGTCAAATGAATAAAGTCTATGTTGGATATAAACCTGCGCAAAGAGCGCTGCAGTTGTAACACTTGCAGCTTCTTCAGTTCAATCACACTTTTTGTTTTGGTAGAGATGTCGTCTGATGAGTTCACAATTTCCTGTTCACAACCCAAAGCATCGAGTTAGAACCCAAGAGCATTTGCCACTATACTGAAGGCTGGGCAATAATCTATTTGTGCGAAGTAGGATCTCCCCTTTGAATCTAAAGGGATGATGAAAAAGAGAATAGAATTGCTATTTCAATTTTAATTGGCAAGAGAAATGTCTGCAGAAGAGACATACAGGGAACTTTCGAACCTCCTACCTTCAAGAGATGGAACCGAGAACTGATTTTCTCTTCTGTTTTCCTCTGCTTCTCCGCCCACTTGTTGTCAACAACAGACTTCCTCTTATGTTCATCAAGAGTCCATTTCATGATTGTAGTAAACTGAGGCTTAGTCAAGTAGACTGGAATGTGAGGTGGCATATCGTCCACTTCGTCTTCAGAAGGGACAGCGTTCCCATTTCTATTCTCTGCGTACATTTGCATCCCCTGGTACTGATTTCTCTGAGACTCCAGGGCAACCTGTTGCGCATTAGAAGCTTCACTGTTTGTAGCAACTGAATTACCCACCGTATGTGAGTTGAAGTACATTCTTCCGTAATTTGGAGGATACTGCACAGCGCCGGACCCATTCACACGCATAGGACTAGGAGCCATTTTCCCAGCCGCAGGAGTCTGCGACATGATCATGGCAGGATTGAAGGATTGGGCAGCTTGCATTACGGCCTCTAACCCCACTATTTCACCATTAGGTAAAAGAACCATTTGGTTTTTGTAGGGAGAAGAAGTGGAAGGAGTATCTGTGACCATATCCCCTGACGCTCCAGTCATTCCCCCTTGAGGCATACTTCCCTTCAACCTTTCTATTTTCCCCTCTTGAAAGTACTGAACTTCACGGGACTGACTATCGCTTGCGCTTGAAGTGAAGGTTCTGGAATCCTGTCCAGAGTTGGGTATCATGGCAACTGGACGAATTCCCTCAGGTAACTGCGACGGGAGCCCAAGGGTTGATCTAAGGATTCTGCCTCCTCCATCACCACTGCCTAAGTTTTCAGGCTCTGGAGTCACTTGACCGAAATTCCCACTCCCCACATTTCGGCTCAAAGTGGATTTCCCTGCATCCATTTGGGTATCAAGTGGTTTACTTGGAGCATAATTGGATGCCACATTGGCTCCATCAGACAGCTTAGAATCCTGTGTTGTATCTTCAGTTACAGGGAAAGGAATCTCCTTCACTGAAGCAGACCTTGCTTGGGCTTGAGCTTCAGCCTGCGCCTCTGCTTCACGTTCTGCAATTGTCTGCCTCCTCCTCTCTGCAATTACCGCCCTCCTCTCTTCAGCAGAGAGGTTTGGATCAATGCGCGGATACCTTTTCCTTAAACGGGCTTTTTTGGACACATCAGGCGTGCCATCAGCCTTGGATACGTCGCCTGAATCGGACACCTGTGGTTTGTCAATGCTTGGTCCGTCATAATCTACCTTGTCACTGTTCATGGTATGATCGGTCAAGCCTGGTCCTCCCCCTTCTGAAGGTGTACTTTCTTCATCTGCTTCCATTTTCCGCTTCTTTCCGGTCGGAACTGTAACATTTTCGGCAAATTTAGTGCCATTATATAGAGGGAAAACTCACGAATAATCTTCATCAAACGAAAAACGTTTACATGAAAACGCTCAAATTTCTATCAGGTCCCAACGTGAAAGAACTACATGATTTTCTCTTATCTCTTATTTACCTCTGCGTTTGGAATTGTGTAGGGCCAAATTTAGTTGCGTCTTCTTTGGAGTCATATTATTTCTGTGCACAGATGACCAAAAATCAAGTTAAACGCGTTGCCAATTTAATGTGTTCTTATTTAGAGACAACAAACTTCACCAAGCAAACGCTGATAAGGCATATGGCCACTGACTATGAACTACGACCAAGATTGTATCACAATGTCATATCTGAACAATATCGAAAAGTTATTATTGGCAAGTGGGCCATCATTTGCAGAAACTAAGTCTGCAAAGCTTCTTCACGGCAAAAGAGACTAAACTATCCTGAACCATACCAACCTGAAAGATTGCAACACCATGCACTGTGCCCTCAACTGCTTCATCTGGTAATCTGAGAAAGGTAACCCGGATTGAGAAGCCTCTGACCTCATACTGTCTGTTGCTTGCTGATCTCCTCCTCCATCATCTAGTCCAGACTCAGAATCAAAAACTGAATCCTTCATTGAGGCTTTAAGCCCTGACTCCCTGCTTGATATCCTGGCCTGCTGGCCGTCACTTATCCCATCACCAGGTGCAAGGGTTATTCCCCCCATAGACGGAGTATTAACAGCACCAGCTTTGCCTCCAATGACCATTTGTGGCAATCCAGAATTACTTCCCTTCATGGCCTGAATAGGTTCAAAGGACAAAAAACTTCAGCAGTAAGAAATTTATTGGTAGGGCAAACCAGGTCGATTGATTGTACTTCTTAAGTGAGCAAAGCGTCCATCATATGCTACATTGATGAATGCATCAAGCCATCTAGGGTACTACGATTCTGTTCTCCAAAAACAGAGCCAAAATAATGAGACGACACAAAGTCGTTATGGTCATGATGTACCTTCTCACTGTCAACAAAACTCGAACTGATTGAGAAGTCTACAGGCAGCGTGTCCTTCCTCATGGGAAAAGTTCCCGAATTGATACTCTTCCCAAACTGAATCCTCTCGGGAGTATCATCAGATGCATTTGTGTTTTCACCCCTTGAACGCTGTTGCTGTGAGTTTAGGAGGTCCCATTTCATAGCCGGCCTGCTGGGAGACTCTTGAGGACTTGCACCTCCCGATTGTTGCTGAGAAGTTCGAACTGCTGAATAGGAGCTAAATGCTCCTCTACCTCCACTACTCATTTTAAAAGGGAGAGTTTGACCATCAGAAACTCCCCTGTTTGGGCCAAGATCACGCGCTGGTGAGTCCTCCAACTCATCCTCACTTTCAGATTCTGAATCTTCGTCGCCATCTCTGACACTGGAGGTACCAAGGTCCATGCGTGAGACACTTGCTTGATGAGACGGTTGACCACTACCGTGAGTTGCAGAAAAAGTACTAGATCGTCCTTCAACATTCGTCGCCTGAGTGGATCGTAAGTTTCCAACATTTTGGCCCTGATGAAGTTTGGTATCAAGGGCTCCGTGTGGTCCTATCCTGGTATTTGATCCTGCAACTTTGAATGCAGAGATACCCCGCCCAAATTCAGAAGATGTCCCTGCGTTCTCCGTCGAGGTCATTTTGCCTTCAGCACCTCGCAAGCTCCCTTGTGAAAGATCCAACTGACGTCCAACCTCGAGTTGCTCATGTGTAGATAACCCTGATCTTAATTCACTTTGCCCGTCAACGTTTTCATTTCCACTTGACTGAGCTGCACCTCTTGGACCTTGGACAGCCTGGGCTTGGGGGCGAATCAGCACAGATGATAGAGATAAAAATCCTCCATCCCTTTGATTTGCTGAAGAGCCTATATCATCAATAGCCTCAGCAGTATCAGCTTCATCTCCAATTTCACTATCAATTATACTCCTGCGTTGGGCTTTGCGTGCTTGCCCGTCGTCAGAGTCATCAATGTCTAGTTGCTTCCTTTTCGTAACTTTGGAAGCATTACTTCGGTTCAGCATTGCTGCTGCTGGACCTCCAGCTCCACCTCTGGGATCACCCATTTGATTGTATCCCAAAGTTGCCCAGTCTAGTGCTTTTTGATTACCCTGCAGGGTCGTATCTGATGGAACACTATTTCTGGGAAAAGATGGCTGACCTTGCATAGAGTTCACCATTGGGGATTTGTCTAGTCTACTGCTTCCTACTGGAACCTGCATCCTCGAATCTCCAGAAGCGTTTGAAGAACTATCCAATCTCATACCAGGTTCGTTCGAGTAATCCCTTGCACCATCGTGCGCCCTTGTTGATCTCGAAGTCCCTGCTGAAGGGAAGTCTCCCGACACACTAGGATGACCCTGTGAGTGTGATTTGGACTCCGGCGTTTGTCGCCTAAAAACAGTATCTCCAAATCTTGAACCTCCCGGTCCAGAAAATCCATGTTGTAAACCACCACCAGGGTCTACCATTGATCTTTCTCCAGGAAATTCTTGATCCGACTGGCGATTCTCTACATTTGGAGGCCTTGGACCTCCATAAGTAGGGCTGTCACCTTGGGAGGATCCACCTGGCCCTCCTTGATTAGAAGAATTGAATATACTCGGATCCAAACCATACTGTAGAAGCACAATTTCCATGGCCCTTCAAGACAGACAACGGATAAACAATTAAACCAGTAGGTCAGTACACAAGATCTCATAAAATTATATGATCTTTACTGACATTAAATTCATATAAAACCCTAAAAATCAAACTCTTCTTGTCTCGTCAATACAAAAGCGTTAAATCCCTCAATTATGAGAGTCGGGAATCTAATTTGACCAAAAGATAAAGTTTCAATTCAACAACAAACCTTGATATTATTCGAAAAGGAAGAGTGTCCTCTTTGTTATTAATCCTCATGTGTTTACATATCTGGTAAAGATTTCAGACAAAATATTAGTCACACATACAGCTGATACAAATGGAAGATACAATCGATGTATGAAACGAACATTCTTACTGTGAAGAGCTTGGTGGCCAACTTCTTCGGCTCATTCTTGAAGTCTTGCCCAACTTTCTCTAAGAATTTGGCCGCCTCAAGCTCCACGTTCGAAGTGGCTTGTTGAGCCATGCTTCCTCAGATGAAAGCCTACACCAAAATATAGAACAAGCACCAAAATAAATAAAACTTTAGCTTAATTCAACACCACGCAAGCAATCTAAAACTCTAAAGCAGCTCACTTTTGGTGTATGGTGAATCCATCCTTGCTCTTACAGTTTTTTAACATCACCTTATTAACCCAAGAGAGGTACAACCTTATGGGTTATCAGAACTTGAAATTTGGTAAAGAAATTAGGTTTAGCATTCACACAAAACATGAAAGTCATATCGTTACTGAGGATATATGAAAGAAAATATATTACCCCAGCAAGAACACCCAAAACCAGGACATAAAATTTCATATCAAGATTGGCATGGATCCACTCCCTTTCATTAAAAAATAGACAACTGAAATCACACGTGACATAGCAGGTAGACATAGCAAGTAGACCAAGGATCCGGTTTATTCCCACAAAACCATAGGCCATGATATGATCCATTCAAGTTAGTATGTCAGTGACAAATTTGTCAAACCATCTCAACAAACCATGAAACCGTTATAACGAACCTGGTCACAAAAACCCATACAGACATCACATGATCCATCGAAATGATAAAAGCATGTCCAACATATCAAAGAAACCATCATTGAGGATACATAAAACGAACTTGTGTATAGTGATACTTTGAACAACTGGAAAACCTGTACAAACAAACAATGACAGCAAAAACAATAGATTGGATGAAACATAACTTTAAATTAACTATTTCAATCGTTATTACATAAGTCGTTTGTTTTCACGATATTCAGATACATAGAAGTTCCGATATCTACCACCAGTCATTATTATTACGTCGAAAGAAGATGCGGCTGAACAAATCATGTACATGGTTCACTTCATGTGTTCAAATTAGGAGCATATGGTGACTATCAGTAAGAGAACAGGCAGTAGAGTATTAGTTCCGTAACTCAAATTCTCATTAGACGAAAGACGAAAGAAGTCACTGGCTTATTTTCAAACTTTGCTGTGCACATTGAACACTTGTGGAGACAATTCAAAACTGTTTCAGCCAACTATAGAAATTAGGGAGCGGCTAGTTATCCCTGAGTTTATGCTAATTATCCCTCACCCTAGGACAATTATATAATTGCTTTAGAAGAGAGGTTTGTGATTGGTCAGAGCAATCTCATCTCAAGATGAACTCGCTCGCACGCTTCACCGCCAGAGGTCTCCCACGCAACACTGGACGCTGCGCTATCGCCAGTGCAAGGTTACGCGTTGAGACAGGGCTACGCCGTCGTGATTCAGAGCAGACGCAGGGTTAGTAACAAGAAATATGGAGCTATCAAGGGACTTCGATCTTGTATGTTCCCACTAGCACAGCCAGTTGTCCATGAAGGGCGAGGGATAATTAGCCTAAACTAAGGAATAACTAGGCGCTCCCAGAAATTAATCTTCAAGATTTGTAAAATATGAACAACGCTTGCTTTCAATGACATATCTTTGTCCATGTAATGTTATCATGCATTAATGGCAACAGCGCATATATGAATCTTTTGTTCTCCACATGAATCCAAATGATATCCCATGGGATGTTTTCGAACGTAGTCAATCACAGAAACAGCATAAAATCTCTACACGGTGTAAAATCTCCACTACTTTCACTCTGAAGAATGTAAGTGCGTCCTGTAGTAGCGGGCTTACGAAAATAACCTCTACACCAGATCTTATCCCTTGAAGCTATATCAGTGATGAAGTTCACTGATTCAATTAACTGAATTAAGCTATTTAAGTAAATATAAGTTGGCAGAAGAGGAAAGAGAGGGGTTAGACAGCATCTTCATCATATCAGAGTATGAGTTGCATGACAGATAAAGAGGCATGCGCATGATGAAAGTAAAGGATCAAAATCAAATCGAGGAAGTAGGCTTGGAAGGTTACAACATCCTTAATATATAAAATATATATACTCGTCGGGCTTTAGGAGTGACTGATGTAAGTACTACTAGGTAACTTAGGGAATGAGAGATTTGAAAGGTTGGTATTTAAGGACAATATTTCCTGAATATGAGGTGAAAAAACTATTTAGAATTGAAATCGGATACTAGTGAGGTCATGTCTCATGAATACATAATTTATAAATTATCTGTAGATGTGAAAAGTAAAGGATAGAATTATCTAGAGTGAAAATATGTTACATCTAAAAATATGTTGAAGTCCACCACTTACATCATAAATACTCTATCTTTAGTATGTTCGCTCTAGTGGTGTCTTGACTCAACCAGTCACGATAAGTGATACTCACAACGAAAACTAGGTAGGAGTGGTTTCTTCTTTATGATTATCTATCATAGTCACAAACTATCGATTACAGTATGTTTTCATGGTTTATACTCACATAGTAACTATCACATAAACTAGCCATCAAAAAGTTGTAGAATCTAAAGACAACAATAAGAATAGCTCTACGAGCAAACAAAAAACTATTACAACAAGTGTAGCACATCTACCATCTCTCGTAAGATATGTGGTGTTGACGATGAGTCACATATTTTCGATGTGGAAGGTTTGTTAGTGCAGCTCCTCCAATTGCAAAGGTTGTTTGTAACAAATGTGTTCATCAAACAAGAATTACACATTTATAAATGTTAAGCAGATTTGTAAATATGTGCTCAACATTAAACTTAGTGATTGGCATGGAAATACAAGTAGTGATCACAAATGCTGGGCAATTTTATTATTTAGATATCAGTATTGATCTTATTAATTGAGATAAAAACAAATGAAAGGAGTGAAACTAAAGGAAGAAAATGATGAAACTGCCTGCAAAATTTTTCAAACCTCAACCTAAAACTCTAAAGTTTGAGGAGGAAGGGGTATAAATATGATTATAAAAAATGATGTAACCAAACTACTAATCTGACACGAGAGTGGTAGCAAACAAAAAATAGACATGAAACTAGTTATCACAATCTCACCACAAACTTCGTGATGTGAGATTGTGATAACTACTTTCCTGTCTCTAGGAAGGCTACAATGGATATCGATGGATGAGTCGATACATGGAAAAAAAATTGGGCTGATAAGGATCTTTGGATAAAATGGACTTTTAAAAAAATACGCTAAATAATAGCTCCAATTACAAGAGGTTGCGGAAATGCAGCATGTACGGTTTTCAAGGATTCACCTCATCGATATGAATTCAAGGCTGCACCTCCTAGAATTCATTAAAGCGAAATCTCCTGATCCAACAATTCTTAGCAAGGGAAATAAGATGTTCTTCTTATTAGTGATCCACTTATTGGACAATATTAACAACATACCAATAATCTCAAATAATGAACGAGTGGGATAATAAACAACACAAATGTTGAAGATGTTCAAATATCCACATGTATTGGAAGTGGGCCATCTAAATTACTGAATTCAAATTTCATCCTAGCATGGAATGTATAAACATGAAAACAGAGATACTGACGTGCAAATTGGTCCTGTTTCATATGGATAGAGAATTTCAATGGATGTAACAAATAAACCGCAGATCTTTCATCCGCATAATTCTAAAATATAATTCGATCCCCATACACATTAGCGTGCTAAAAATTATAATTTAAACAAAAATGTTAAGAGAAGATTTTATTCGACCATAATTACGTCATGTGAGCTCTTTCGTTATTCGTTACAGAGGCGTCATCTCTGTGTGAGGTTGAATGGACACCATAGAAATGCGCACCTTGCTCAGAGTCGGCTGTAGCTACTTAATTTGGCAAGGATTCCACTCGGAGTCATCAATCAAACCACGCTGTAGTTCCGCCAATATGAAGCTCCGCATCAGGGGTAGTCCAAATAGCAACTGTCTCTTGATTGACAGATGGAAAAACACAAACATAAAACAACGTTTCTTGGAATTTGGACTCAGTGTACCCCGTGAGCCGTCCCCATCTAACTCCAATCTTCTTAGCAGTCGATAGCAGTGAGCTAATTCTTTTATGTTACTTGCTTCAAATACTGATTACTTGAAGCAAGTAATCATATATGCAATTGCGAGTCCGAAAGCAAATTCGCAATTGTAGTGACCAATTAATCCACGTTCACACCCATGTTATCCCGTACTACATCCAGGCTGCTCCCATGTATATATGAATCAGTATATTAATTACATTCCCATGTCCCTTTCCCTGCTAGCGACCGGATCTATGCACTGAGTGAGACCAAACAGCTCAATTAGTCTCACTCACTTAATTCCTACGCCTCCATTTCCACTGTCCAGACTGCTATCAAGTCCAACAATCCAGTAATATCACTGTAACCTGAACTCTGCAATGTGAGAAAAATGGCACCTTCGCCCCTGCAAGCCCTGCCCCCTAGCCGCCTTCAGTAGGCTTTTCCATATCCCCGTTCCCTAAGTCCGCAGGCAAGCCATCTTCCCTTCATTCCAATCGGTCCCCACGCAATTCCTGAGCCGCTCGCCTCTCCGGTGTCAATGCACACGCTCACTTTCGCTCTCGGGCCGAACCGAAAATAGTGCCGATTTCAGCTCGTGGCGCGATATTCCATTTCCATTCCCGGGGAGCCCCCATCAATACGAGACCCAACGTCCGAGACTCGACCACACAATCCGACCCGAGCTCCTGCTGCTGCTCCTCCTCCTCCACACCATCCGTCACCTCCTCTCGCTCCTTTCTCGCACGCTTACCTTTCGCTCGGACAGCAGCACCAGCAGCCGAAGATACAACAGCAGCGGCAAAGGCAATCGAACGCCCTTCTTGTTGTTACCAGCCTGCCTGCCTGTTACCATAAGCTCATTTGCCCTTGCCCTTGCCCTTGCCGTGCCATGCCATGCCTTGCGACTCGCCCCTCCCTCTTCCTCGTCGTCCTCCCACATCACCACCACTTCACTGCACTGACCACCTCACCGCCTCTTCGGCGTGTTTTCTCCTCCTCCTCCTCCTCCTCTTGTGCGCGTTCGCTGCTGTGATCTCGCTCCCCCCGTCTCTCGTGTCGTGGGGCAGCCTGCGAAAGGGCTGTCCAAAAGCTGGAAAGTCGACACTCGCTACCCATTAGGGCTGGCTTTCTTGCTCCAGCGCCTCATCTCCCTCCTGCTGCCACTGGATTTATGAGCGCCGGCCGCGACAGGTTCACCGGTCAAGTCCTCTCGGCGCCACCGACACCTGCTCCCGCGTCTGCACGCCCATTCCTCCGCGCCGGGCCACCACCGGCCCCCGCCGGTCGCCCGCGAGGCACGGGGCACGTGTCCACCTACCCAGCATTATTTTCTTCGGTGCTAAGGCTCATCTCGGGCTGTCTTTTTCGTTTTCGCATTGGCCGGAGACCGCCAATTTCGACCCGGAAGCGTCAACCGGGCGGAATTCGTGCCCCATCCCGCCCGCCTCGTCCAGCGCCGGCCCGGCCCGGTCAGGTCCCCCGCGGCCATCGAGGTCCCCACGCCCCTTCCGAGCCGGTCCGTCTCATCATTGGTCCTCCCCGTCTGCCCGGCCTCGAACCTGCTATGGCCCGCGATCCCGTGATCCCGTTCCCACCACCTCCACCCCCTCGGATTGTCAGATTTATTTTCCCAACACACTTTTACCGATTTGGCCACGGCTTGCTGCCTCATTTTTCACCCCACTCCAGCAGCTGCTGCTGCTTCAGGTTGGATTTTGGTACGCTTTCCTTTATTAGAAGATACATTTAAATTTGCTTGTCTGCCTTTGTTTTCTCCAAAAGGATTTCCCTCCATCTCTCGCGCAGGGTAATTTGAAACTCTGGCGATTCCTCTTTATATTCTCTACTGATATCATTGGTTGTGACTTCAAACGGACAAGGATTTATTGTATTACTTGCATGTCATTATTTTCATGCTTTGGACATCAAAAGTGCCCACTGATGTACATAAATAGGTATCCTCTAATATTCTACATTCTGTATGCACCCATCGACGGACGCTTGCAAGATTTCTTTATTTCGCTAGATAGAGATGCTATCTCCAAAGGCGTCATGATATACTATTATTTCTATTATATACAACGCCCTCCGCCACCGAAGATTCATCTGGGGTTCTTATCGACCCTCGTCTAATGTGCATGGTGTTAACTTCACTCCATTTGCAAACAAGACACCCATTGTTTCATATAAGCATCGCTGAGTCAGATTCCGAGACGTCTGTCGAGAATGAGTGATACTGTTGAGCAAATCAATAGATTTTGTGAGTGATTAGCTAGAGTAGTTTTGGTGGGAAATTAGAAACAAAGATGTGATAGAAAGGGCGAGTGATCGTATGATATCTTATAGGAAGAACCTCAACTCGTGAGTCATGGTCTGAAATTCAAGTAAGTTCTTCTTCACGACTCGAACATACGTCGCTGTATTGACCATCATCAATCGCAAGAGCAGCAAGAATGAAGCGAGCGAATCTGTATATAACAGAAAAGGCTTCACTTTGCAACGAACTCCTCGGACTTCACTTTCCGTGTAGCGAGTGTTGTTGCGGCTGTTTGTGTCGCTCCATGTACTTCGAGTATATCAAGTGCGAGAGGAGCGAGTAGAATGGCCAAACGGATGGGAAGATCCCATTATATGAATTGAGTGATCCAAGGTTATAGGATTCTCTTATTCCGATCTTCATACTGTTTGCACATGGTATGGTCCTCCATGTGTCATCTTGAGGAAAATTCGACACAAAGATGTCCAAACGTATAGATGGACTGTTGGGGTGTACGGGGATAATATATCAATCAGTCAATCAGATCCATGATTCCATGTGAATGATCTCATTCAATCAAGATATCGAGGCAATGATACGGATGAATGTTATTCTAACAAGCGAGCTTGTCATTGACATGTTAGTCACTATTTGCATTGTGTCTGCAAACCATTCTGATCAAGAGAATACTTGATCCATGATCACTCCGATCATGAAAGTTTATATGGCGATTTCTTTTTGAGGGTATCCAGATCAGATTTTTTATTATATGAATTTCCAGTAGAAACGTAATAAAAGCTTATATATGTATATACATCAGTCAGATTCGAACGTGTCATCATTTATCATAATCAGCAACATACCTCATTTCTCATAACATTTATCAAAATCTCATAATACAGATAGATCGCCACGCAAATTTATAACCACTTACATTTTCTGTAACATACTGAAAACACATACATTTTGGAATACTATCTGTGAAAGTACAATTATTTAACCATATTATGTATTCTTTCTGTACTTTTATCTTAATTGAAATCATTTCAATAAAATGTCTAGCGTTCCTGGTACTCTATTTGCGTAAATTCTACTTGTTCCAAACATCATGTGTCGATCTCAAACTTTCACCCTGATAGCAGTGACAACTTGAAGAAATAAAGTGAAAGTTCCATATTCGCATGGCAGATTACTATCCTATATTGAGCAACAGATATGCACAGGTGAATGTTTGCAACAGAGAATGATGATCATGTAGATTTTTCAGACATATATTGATATACCATTCAAATATAAATGTGATTATATATATCTGACCATTTAAATGAACAAACAGATTCTTATCATTTGAGTAAAACAAGCATATTTGGAGAATATAACTTGTTCAAATTTTATCCTGTAAAAAAAAATATAATAAGCATTCAAAAGTATCGGCCAAAACATAACGTCATGTTTAAGGATCAACAATTGGATTCGACTGAATTTTTTAACTCACTAGAACAAAAAACACGGATTTATACACGGATAGTGGAAATGAAATTATCGCTTTACGGTTGGAGCGCGCGACTAAAGAGACACCATTGCCTTCTTTTCTCTGCAATTTCTATGAATGGCTTGAATTGAAACTGTGAAGTCATTTCGTGAATCTCCGTCCGTCGAAAACTCCAGCCTTCTTTCTACAAGCGCTGCGCGACTTCTCCTTCAGCCGACTGGTGGCTTCGGCTATGAGAGAAAATTAGTAAGACTGAAAGTACAATCCGCAGAAGCAGGGTCTTGGTCTTCTTAAGTCCGGAACTCTGCCACTTCTTAGCCTTTTCAAACCTATTATAGAAGTTGCAACGAATGTTGAACTTTATCATTTTCAATGTAAATGTAACAAAATATTGCAGATACTTCATATTTTATGACAATTGTGATTAAGATTACTTTCACTCTATTGATAGAATTTCATCTATTGTTCTTGTCTCGAATGTAACTATGATCTCACATAATAAAAAAAATAGATGTTTGCAGAATTTTGCTCAAGAGTGATACAAAATTTGGAAAAGAATATACTTAATGACTTATTTTACTGTGATAATACACAAAATAAATCAGATTCTATATTTTTGAAATTATGTAAGGACACATGGGAAAATTTGCACAATTAAACACAAAAAATTAATGTGGTTTGTCTATATGACATGTTAAGGAGTTTCCTAAATGTTTACCGATAATGTTAAAAGAGTCAGGCTTGCTTCCCGGTAGTGTTGGAGGCAGAAGAAATAATTTTGAGACATGACCATACCCGTTTCAAGATCAAAAGGCATGCCTCATGCTTCCCACGCATGTCCTTATTAGAATACGTACATTTGACGTATGTTTGTAGTATACACTATATACAGTTCCGAACTAAACAAAACAATGATATTGGAAACATACTTCGTAAATTGAAAGTGCAAACAGGTTTCACATGCAACTTTTGACAAGAAGATATGATACATAAAATTTCAAGGTTAAAAGAATCATCTAATCTAGTTCAGTGGAGATGTCCAAGCCTCAAGTAAACATAGTTCCCCATGCTAAATATCAGATTCATCTGCTGAAGATAATAAAGCCGAAAGACTTGTCTACATCTACGCATTGACACAAAAACAACATTGCAGTACATTAGTTCCAAGAACAGATTCAGTATCATGCAGCTACCAACAACAATAATGAATTTTCAATCTTAAATTTACTCTTCTCAAATAGCAAAACATGTCTATACTTCATCATGAAACCACTATAACATCCAAAAGTTATTTATCATCGCATAGTATACACAATATATAGTCTCAAACTAAACAAAACAGTCAAACCAAAATACCACTTTCAAAATTGAAAGTGCAAAGAGTTGTCATGATACAGTGTTGCAAAGTATAGTAGAACCTACCTAAAGCCATATTGACTTAATTGATAAACTCTTAAAATTGCTTAATATTATATGTTCCAACCACGTCTCCATACTAGAATTGATAAATCTATGTAATCTGCTACTTGATAAACTTGGTATGGTCTCAAAACTTTTGTTAACTGATAAATCTTACATACATGCTATTTAAACTTGGACAAAATAGCTATGAATACCCTCTTGTATCATTTTGCAAGTTTTGATAGCTCTTCTCTTGTACCTCATGTGCTGCAAGGTTCTTATGATGTGTTTCTTTATACGTTTGCTGTATCCATAAGATTTTGAGCGCCTGAATCATCCGATGTGCCTAAGTAGACGGAATTGAGAAAAACGCATCATTGTCGTCGCCATTCATGTTGACGCGATCATGATTTGCATGGAATCACTCTACTAAAGGCTTTTTGCTCTGAGGATACATATGTACTTTATTGTGCATTGGCGTTTCTGGCTAAGGTTGATGTTGTCTGCCATTTAAAGCTCCTCAGCAGAACGCTTACGGATGCATGAAATGATTTACAGGGCAACCTTTGTGTTATATTTTTTCTTAAGTCATGCTCCAAATTATTTTTGTGTGACTTTGTGGTTGTATCTTTTGTATCGGCATAGAGCAGTGCAGACCTCATACGTCATTGTTGTGACTTAAACACCACGCTCCGGCATCTTCTTGATGTGCTGTGATGATGATAGGAGATGTTGGTTGTACTTTAGTGTGAATGTTCGTGTGTTTAAATCTAGGTTGTGTTTCCGGTGTGTGTTGCAGTTGTTGTGATTGATTTTAGAATTCAAACGTTGTACGTGATTGTT